GCCCGCAGCCAGCCAGTCTCCAGCCAGCCCCTGCTGCACTCCCTGCCTGGCCTCCAGCCCAGCACCCCCTGCCCTGACTGCAGCCAGCCCCTGCCTGGAGCGAGCCCGTCTCCAGCCAGCCCCGCGCCCTGCCCACAGCCAGCCCCGCACCCCCTGCCCTGTCTCTAGCCAGACCCTACCTCCAGTCAGCCCCTGCCCTGCCTCCAGCCAGCAATGTAGGTAATATATAATTTTGTTACTATTAATATAGTTATGGAAAGTAAATAATACATAGAAGAAATGTAAAGGTTTTTTTTTTTTGTTGTGTGTGTGTGTTTTTTTCTTTTAGTCATCCTTGCCGGGGCCCTGCCGAAAATGTTCGAATTGGGCCCCGCACTTCCTAAAGCCGGCCCTGGTGCTTACCCTCTGAACAGGGGTGAATTTCACCCTAATGAGAACTTCTCTTGCAGTGTTATGATTTTTTTATTTTTGGAGTGCTTGATGTTGAATACAATTTTAAAATATAGTAAACAATGGCAGAAGGCGTTTATGGCATTAAGAAATAAATGGAAATGTGTGGTGTAAGAGGTTAAAGAATGCTGTTGGTTTTTATACTCACTATAACATTTATGCAAAGGTATAAATTAGAGGTGGGACAAAATTAAGACCCATTTATTAGAACTCTGGAGAAAATAGAATTTGGATTCATACTAACTCTGGCTGAGCTTTTGCAAAAACTACTAGGAGAAATAGGGCCGCACTCTGCTCTGTTACATTGATGTCTATAGGGATTAACTCCAGTGAAGTTATTCAGGGTTTAGAACAGTGAAAACTAGCAGAAGTTGGCCCATAACAGGTCTGTTTCTGCAATCATGTCCTATCTGTAAAACTGCTGTTCAGTCTTTTCAGATCCTTTAATTTCTTGTTGGGGACATTCTGACGAGTCCACTGCTAGTTATGGCCACACAACCTTGCAAAATCTGTTGGCTAGTATAAAATGTTTCCGGTAGAGTACTGAATACTTCCAGATACTTTACTGGAAAATAACCCTTTTAGGGAGAGAGAGAGGAGTATAGTTTTACTCCAGCTATTTATTTTTGCAACAGTAGTAAAAATATGGAGGTACAATGTAGCATTTATTATGATAGTACTGTAATTTTACAAGGAACTGAAAGAACACTGCCACTTACTGGTAAAGTTAAAACTTACTCAAATGCCTGAAGTAAGGTACAAAGTGAATATTGCAAATGAAGAAGATAGTGTATGTGACCAGTAATTGCAGTGCTTTCTTAATTCAAGCAGTGTTTTAGTGGAGAATAGTGAATAAGTGTCACCATTGTTTTTGTCACAAACTTTGTTTTTCTGACCCTGGTCAAAAGGTAATCTACACTTGTTATTTTAATTTACAACACTTATATTGTCTACTACAAAATATGACTGCAGTCATACAACTTTTAGTATGATATAGCAAACAGGAACGCATATAATTTCCTATGTGATAGTGCTCAAGAAAGTTAGCTAGTTGCATAGTGCAAAATTTTAAAACTCCCAGAAAACTCTCATACAAGTCTTTTCCTTCTTGTGGCATGTTAATGTCTCGTAAGAGATATATGAAAGGGATGATCCTTTTCTCAGACACATCAGAGTTCTACTGTTAGTTTTCAAATATTGCAGGAAGGCATGTCCAGTATATAGAGGGAGAACTGAAGCTTGGACCCAAAGATTTTCTATTTATGGATTTGTTTTCACTGCATTGCATGCTTGTTTTTAATGTAACAATTTGTCCTCTTCAGAATTGTTCTGTTCTTGATCAGGGCTGTCACCAATGTAGAAGTAATTTTCGGCTACCTCCCGGTAGACAGTGATATACTTGGAAGCTTTCCTTGTCTGTGGTATCACAAATCTTTCTGTGAATTCACTTTTACTCATTGGCTGCTTAACTTGCGCAGCCAAAACACAGTTAATAAATGCCAGTGCATAGGTATAACAATTGTGGTAGTGTTCATCATACCTGTGAAACAGATAACCAGGTTAATGAGACAAACTAGTTCTTTAAATAGTATGTGTAAATTGGAGATAATATTTTATTGGCTCAGATAAAGAACCATACACCTTCCAAAAATGCTAAAATTCTCTTAATGCTAGAACTTAAATGCACCTGTAATAATGACTATCCCTCTGATGCTCTCAGATGCTGGAAAATTGTGGGCATAAAAAAAAGTTCAGATTCTAAGCTCTAGCACAGTGTTTCTCAGATGTGGCCACCAGGAGATTTTTGTGCAGCCACATCCTCCTCGGTTTGGACTGCCAGTAGGGGTTAGGCCTTGTCCCGCTCTGGAGCCACAAACGCTGGAGGATCAGGCAGGCAGTGGGGCTCAGGCTTCAGACTTGGGGTGGTGGGTGGCAGGCTCCAGATGTGTGGCGGCGGGCTCCATCCCCTGGCCCCGGGCTTTGAGCCCTGGCCCCACGCGCACCCCCCCCTCCACTCCCCCTCAGCCCGCTGCCTCCTCTGGCCCTGGGCTCCGGCCGTGCAGCAGTGGGCTTTGACCCCCACCCACAGGATTTTGGACTACACCCATGGGGCCACGCGATCCAGCCCCAGCCGTGCAGCAATGACTGCTGGCCCCAAGCTCTCTTCCCCCCCCCCCCCAACACACACACATTGCCCCTGGCCCCTACTTTGTTCTTTGGTCCCAGTGCATGGCTGCTGGGCTCCAGTCCCCAGACTCACACCCCCGCCCCAGTCACCCCTGGCCCTGAGCTGCCTCCCTACCCACCTCTCCATCCAGGGCTTTGTCCCCCAGCTTGCCAGGGCTGAGTAAGTCTGTGAAAAGTGATATTTGTATGTTTGTTACTATCACTT